TCAAGCAAAATAAATAATTGTACGTGGGTTTATGTCCCCCATCTGATTCAATATGCAGAGGCATATACTACTTATGAACAATTTCTAAAACTAAGCTTTTGGCAAACAAGTTGATAAAACAAGGATAAGAACAGTCTCGATTGAAGTAATGATATCGCGTGTTCTATGGTCGAAACTGACATCTTTCATACTTATTTATAGACCAGTATTTACGAACTGAATGGGATATGGATTTTTTTTTTCTGTTTCCCCGATCATGACAAGGCGCATACGGAGGGTTAGACCGGTCGAGAGGAGGTGCTTTCTTCTGCATAGCATCTGATCCCACCTCTGATGTTTTAGAGGTCCGTGTTTGAATTGCTTTTGATTTGTACTGTTTTAATGGATGTTATAGATTAAATGCTGTCATCTCCATATGTTATCACTTAAAAACTGAAGTTCATTTCAATAATATAATATTTAACGAACTTCATCTTACTTTATATGGCTACTTTTACATATATTATTACATTTATATTAATAGACAATAAAATATCTTTCGTTGTTAGTTATAATGATACAACTGACGTAGGATAATTACTTCGGAGACTATGTTAATTATCACGTCTCAAAAGCATGTATGCAATCACGGACGTTTCGTTCCAGTTTCATTTAGAATATAGCCCATTGAGGTAGAAAAAGCAAAGGATTTTTTAAAAGTTCTTACATCTTTTACCACGTCACTAGTATTTGCTACTAATATAATGCAAGTCAATGAGAAATTGACGTACTCGGTAGTTTTTGTGTTGATTTAATTTAAGAGTTATAAGAAACCAAATCCGAATTTTAGGGAAAAAAGCAATTAACTACTAAGTTTGTTGCAATCGATCGCTTTGATTAAGCATTAATCATTGATAAGAATGCATGTTATGGATGACAAGGAACCTCTTTTGACAATTTCTTAAAATCAAAATGCATTGCGAATTATGACGGTCTACAAACACTATATCCTTATCTAAGTCATGTATGACTTAGATAAGGATATAACTGTTCTTCAGAAGGCGCTTATAAACGCATGTGATCTAAGTGTACATAATGTATTTATAGTCACTGGCCCTGTGGTGCACTATTTTTTATTTATGTAGGTCCAGTAAAAATTTAGCGGTTAGAACTGAATTTTTAAACCACTCGTAGATTTCTTGTACAATATGATTTTCCGTTAAAGGGTTTTCTCATAATTACGAAATAGTGGGAATCGTTCAGGTCAAAGTGTTCTTAAAGTGGATCATATATATACTCCAAGGTCAATGTCATGGGGTCAAAAAATGGTACCTAAAGTTAAGAAATGTATCCAAAGTAGGAAGTCTTAGCACCAACAGTTCTTAACTTATTGGAAAAGTTTTTTACAATTTAGTTCAAACTCAAATATCAAGAGACTTAGGCGGAAAAAAATGTACCAAAAGGTTTTGTCACAAGAAATACACTTGCGATATTTTAAAGCCCTAGCTCCAACTGTTTAAAAGTTATGAGCAAGTTTTTTTTTCAAATGAAGGTCAAACTAAGTTAAAGGTGAAAAACGTTTACACCTACTATCTGGTCACATGATATACAGAAGTGAAATTTACAAGGCCTAAGCACAAACCGGTAAAAAGTAATGGGCAAGGTTTTTTGTGGAGAAACAAGCAAATTAACAGACAGACGGACCGATGGATACACAAATCATTTTATGTCTAGAATCTTCGATAATGAGGAAATTAATGTAAAGCAATCTCTATTTGTTGCACTTTTTGGTGCTTCTTTCTCATGCAATTGTGTTGAGTTTCAAGATACTAAAAAGCTTGTCTTCTGCAGTCTATAGTAAAAAGCAACTAACGGATACAGGGTCTTGGTTCCTCTGTTTAAGGGGGCCGACTTTGGTTTTCATTGCGCAGTATTTCGCGCATCATAGTAAAATGAAGCGTACTTACTGTTTTAAAGCAACTTTTTTCACTTCATTAATAAAATTAAACAAACTTAAGAAATTACAGGTTTAAAAATGTAATTACAATTTTATATAACTGATTTTTTAACCGATTTTGCAATTGATAGGTAGGTTGACATTGTTACAGTGTGTTTTTGACGTTACGATAAACTGAAGCTCTTAAAGAAAGAGGTAATAAAATTGTTATTAAGAAAAAGTAATAAACATACGCTGTTGAAATTTAAAACATAGAAATTTAAGAATATCTCCAATATTTTTATTATGTTTTCATATAAATCTCTTGTGCCCGTTATATTTTGTAGTATTCTATAAAAACAGGAAAATTCGTTAATTTTTTGCATTTTGAGATGCCCCCTCTGGTAACAAGACGGTAGAATTTTGTGTTTCTTACATATAATGTACAATATAGTATTACCCATCATATAATATAGTTTTAACAAAAAGTCTATTGTAGTTTTTGTATAATATGCTTTAAAGTGATAAAAAGTGGCACTTTCCTATATAATCCTATAGTAAATGTACCTGTATTTTGTGACGGTCCCTTAAGAATACCTGGACGGTAGATTTTCCCCAAACTTGGCATGTACGCTGAAGTTAATGTAAGTTATATATGGTAAAAAAAATGAAGAGTTTCGCTATTGTAGTTTCCACACAATAAAACCCCAGTCGGCCCCCTTAAGGTCATCTATCCAGGATATTTATAAATCTTTATACATGTATTTTGAGATATTCAACATGTATTAGATGTCAAATTCATTTCTGTTTTTTATCCTATAGAAGATGAAACAGCCATGGAAAGGAATATGTACCCCCTGGAACTGGGAAGACCATACGAGGGAAAAAACAAAGATTCATATTATAATATAATAGAAAGTTTCGATGAGCCAGACTTCGAAAACTTTCATGTTGCATCTAAAAGACCTTTTGGAGGAATCTATGGAAAATCCTACAAAATTGGGAAGCGTGAGTATCCACCACTGGAGGTTCTATACGAAATGAAACGTCCATTTGGTAAAATGTATGGAAGCTCAACTCAAGGAAAGCCTGTGACTGATGACCATGCTGAATCCAAACGTCCATTTGGGTCAGTGTATGGGAAATCTTTTCAAATTGGCAAGCGCCCCTTTGGTTCAGTATACGGAAAGTCATATAATATGGGCAAACGCCCTTTTGGCTCAATATATGGACAGTCCCATGTAATGGGCAAACGACCCTTTGGCTCAGTATATGGAAAAACCTTTAAAATGGGTAAACGACCCTTTGGTGGAGTATATCGAAATTCATATCAAATGGGCAAGCGATATGCAATCCCACTTGTTCATAACGAAGTGAAGCGTCCATTTGGTAAAGTTTATGGAAATTTGTACAAAATTGGGAAAAGACCATTTGGCAAAATGTACGGAAAGAATTATGGAAAAAGATATCTTTATAGATATAGCCAAGTACCTGAAATGCGCACGTCTTTTGCCGATAGAACGTCATTACATCCAGAACCCAAAGAGAAAAGAGGACAAAAGACGTATGCCAATAAACCCTTCGGAAGAATTCCCAGCAGCGAAACATTTTTTGGAAGTCGCCAAGGTGAGGAGAATGAATTATTCACAGAAAAGCGTCCTTTTGGACAAATATATAGCAAATCACGACCATTTGGAAAACGGTCTTTCCATGACGATAATGACTATCCATATGATAAACTAATGCTGTCAAAGAGGCCTTTTGGTCGAGTTTACGGAAACTCCTACAAGCTTTGGAAAAGACCATTGAAAAAACATGACTTTGGAAAAAGATCTACATACAAACCTCTCGTTGCTGTTATGGATGAATATGAGCGCCCCATACTTTTGACAGTGGCAAATGGTCAGGACGAGGATTATCCTCTCTTCGTTGATAATAATGTTAATGAAGATTTAGACCTGAAAATCCTTGGCCCAAGAATGACAAATGGTGCTTCAGATGGATACAAAACATACATTTTAGATTCCTCGAGTTTGTATCCTGTGTTCGAAAACATCGAGGATGGAGAAAATCATGGCAGGCTTTATAAAGACATTGAGGAAGACTCGGACGAGGAAGGGTCCGATGAAGGTGGAGATTCTGATATGAGTGATCGTGATGGCAGTGAGAGAAGCGACTACGATGAAATTCTGGGTGAAGTCGTGCCTCTCAATTATTTTGAATATTTCTAAACAGTTGACATGAGGAGAACGTCGGAAATATATTTTGGAACAAATAAAATCTGGTGATAAATCGTATTCACATTTTATGAAGGGAAAAAAAGAGAAACAAACTGATTTCTATTAACATTCCATCATTTAATTTTGAAATTTCGGTTAATTATATCAATGTTCTTCATGGTTAAATTGTAATAAAGGAAGAATTAACACCTTAAATGACTATATGTTTTTATAAAAGGTAGAGTTCTTCGTATATATGCTGTTAGTTTTTCTCGAGTCCTTGCATTTTTGTACATATTTAATTTACGGTGGAAGAGCAGCAACGAAAGGGGGACAATCAAAGTAAGGACAGATACATTGTAAGTACTAGTCTGAACAAAAAATAAAGAAAAAGAGCGACAATACGAGGACAATAATTGACATCAATTTTATATCATCGGATTTTTTTTATTTGTGTGAAAGGGAGCAACTTAATTTGGAAAGTTAAATTTTTTTATTGACTGAACATCAACTTAATAATAAGCCATATATAGGTACGAAGTTCTGCGTGTCTCCTATATACATGCAAATACATGCATTAACATCTTATTGCGCAATCTGACTTATGACTATTGCTTCTTTCGATCTTGTCTGTTTTTCCTTCTTTTCCAGTTTGCGCAATTGTTGAAGCCTCAAGTGTTCAAGTTTGCGCAATTGTTGAAGCCTCAAGTGTTCAAGTTTGCGCAATTGTTGAAGCCTCAAGTGTTCAAGTTTGCGGAATTTGTTGAAGCCTCAAGTGTTCAAGTTTGCGCAATTGTTGAAGTCTCTGTACTTGAAAGTCTATTTTTTAAATGTTTCATATGTCACGTAAAAAGCACACATTAATATGAAGTAATATCTTTATTCCACTAAAACTGCAATATACAAAGATGGACTAAAAACCGGTCTATTATACATCATATAATACACATACGGACTCTATTTACAAGCTATTTACAGATGAGTTGTTGTTAGTGACGAAGATAGTAATCAATGGCCGTAGAGAAGGCAGCGAATCCCATAGCTCCAAACAGGCCGGCCTTCAGTCCAGCTGAAATCAACGACAACGACAATAAATAACTGATCCAGCTAAAATCAACATCAACAACAATAATTAATCCAGCTAAAATCAAGGACAATAAATAACCAATCCAGCTAAAATCAAGGACAAAAAATAACCGATCCAGCTAAAATCGACATAATGACAATAAATAACCAATCCAGCTAAAATCGACATAATGACAATAAATAATCCAGCTAAAATCAACATCAATGACAATAAATAATCAATCCAGCTAAAATCAACATCAATGACAATAAAGAAGTTTAAGAATTCCTGTTAATTTCTTTCAAATAATAAAGGAACATTTATAGTGTAAGTTTTCACGGCTATTTTCAACTTTTAGTTTTTCCAAATGCAATTTGAAAAATTGTCATTTCAATCTAAAATTTGAATGATGGCAATAGATGATTTTGCGAAAAAAAATACAGAAGCCCACTTAGGACCCAGAAAAAATGTTTTTATTTGATTCTATATTATACAAAATTTTAAGATATCATTTAAATGGAATAACTATGTTGTAATAATTCATTGCAATTCTGTAACAATTTAAATGTGTTCTGGCAGCAAATTTATTGACTTTGTTATGAATTTATTCAAAATCTGAAGTTGTGTCTTTAAAAGTTTTTTTTTGATTTTGATATATTGAATTATTGAATTAGATTATACAACTTAACTTTAATTTCACTATCAAATTTGTTTTATTTAAATTAATTAAATTCATTTTAACAAAAAATTTGTTGAAACAAATTTACAAGTTGACAACTCAATAAATGAAATTTTAACACATTTTATATGTAGGTCCTAAATGACCTTTTGTAAGGTATTATGATTTTCAATTTAATATAGTTTATTGACATCATATTTCTCTGGAGTATCATTTGACACATGGGTACTAGAATGAGTCTTATATAAGTACTAGTTTGTTTTTAATCAGAAAAAAATGTTTAAAATTATCAAGCTTCACACTAATATCAGGAATTATGAAATGGATTTATCCCAAGTGGATCAAAAGGTGTATAAAATATATATAGAAATGTTACAGAATTCTTTTTGAAATGATTATACTTGCCTCGCAGTCCTAGAACCCCACCAACAAGAAATCCAGTGATGGTACCATTCCCAAGTTCAGTTTTTCCTCGGCACTGAAACACATCAGTAAAGTTAATGGAAATCAAAGTCATATTAAGAATGAAAAGACTTCCTGTTTTTTAATTGTGCCTATCTCTTGACTACAAACTTTGTGTTATACTAGGTGCAGACAAGTAGCAATAAATACCATAACAATGCATTTATTTTGAAAGGATGCTAAATATTTTAAAAGTGTCAGCAGGATAATGTCAGATTTCTGCTTACATCTTTTTTATTTCAATTTTTCTCTTTGCTTAAGAAAATTTTTTTTTCACCAATTGTAAAATTATTTTTATTACATACAACTTTATCTACTTATTACTTTCAAAACCTTAATTCTTTGTAATCTAAATAAAACCTGCAAAAACATGAAGTGGTAGCTTACCGACTCTAAACAGCACTCTGTTCCAGCAAACATGGCCCCAACAACAGCAAAGTTCTTGCCGTATGACCAGAACCTGGCCCTCATTTCCTGTAGAACCATTCTGGTGGTGGGGGTCTCTGTTGACATTGTGGACATCGGGTCTACACCAGCCGTAAACAGCCCAAATAATCCTCCCAGAGCAAACCCTGAAAAATACAGGTTACTGATAATGTAGTGTCCTATCTGATCAGGTCCTTCTGAATATAATTATATTTTTAAGGAAGCTCCATTTGAAACCCATGTAAGTCCTTTAAGGTAGTCCGATCCTCAGGTTTATAAAATTAGCAGTTAAGTAATCAAAAATATTCATAAAAGTGTCGCTGAATTCACAAAGTTATATAAATTTGTCCACATTATTTCTTCAAAGTTAAAGATTAAAGTTAATCATATTATATAGGTAAAATCGTCAAATCTCCAATATTTTTGCAGAAAAAGTGAATTTGAACATCAGCAATGCATTTTCTAATTGCAAATTGATCAACAAATATATTTAAGGTTAAAACATAGGTAATCAGAGATTACAGAGCTCACCTCAACGAATGTTGTCTTTAAGTAAGGCAAAGTCACACAATTAACCAACAAAAAGTATACATTCCAAAAATGAAAATATTTTTAAAAGCAATTTTGATCCGATACTTTGAGGGAAGGTGTAAAACTTGTTCTAAATAGACCTACATAAAAAATTTAAACTACTTCTTCTTCATGAAAATGTAATGAAAATCCAGCATCTGAAGCAAATTTGAGAGTTTTCATCTCTTGATGCAGCATTTGTGCAAGTTTGGTTTATACAATGTTATATAAGCCTTATAGTTTTTGGTAATAGACCTGCAACCATAACTTTTACCTTGTCTATTATCTGAAAAATGTATGTCCAATTCAGCATCCGAAGCAAGTCCATTAGTGTGCATCCTTAGATGTATCATCCATGCAAGTTTGCTCATTATAGGGCTCATAGTTTATTGGAAATGAAACATGCATCAAAACTAACATTTTCATTCATCCACAAAAAGTAGGTCAGATTCAGCATCCGAAGCAAGCCTGGAAGTATGCATCCTTAGATGTATCATCCATGCAAGATTGGTCATTAAAGAACTCATAGTTCCTTGGAAATGAAACCTGCACCAAAAACTTTTAACTATTCACTCAACCGGAAAATGTAGGTCAGATTCAGCATCCGAAGCAAGCCTGGTAGTGTGCATCCTTAGATGTATCATCCATGCAAGTTTGGTCAACATAGGGCTTAAAGTTACTTGCAAATGAAACCTGCACCAAAAACATTAACCTGTTCGCTCAACTGGAAAATGTAGGTCAGATTCAGCATCCGAAGCAAGCCCGGTAGTATGCATCCTTAGATGTATCATCCATGCAAGTTTGGCCAACATAGGGCTTATAGTTACTTTGAAATGAAACCTGCACCAAAACCTTTAACCTGTTCACTCAACTGGAAAATGTAGGTCAGATTCAGCATCCGAAGCAAGCCCGGTAGTATGCATCCTTAGATGTATCATCCATGCAAGTTTGGTCAACATAGGGCTTATAGTTACTTGCAAATGAAACCTACACCAAAAACTTTAACCTGTTCACTCAAGCGGAAAATGTAGGTCAGATTCAGCATCCGAAACAAGCCCGGTAGTATGCATCCTTAGATGTATCATCCATGCAAGTTTGGTCAACATAGGGCTTATAGTTACTTGGAAATGAAACCTACACCAAAAACTTTAACCTGTTCACTCAACTGGAAAATGTAGGTCAGATTCAGCATCCGAAGCAAGCCCGGTAGTATGCATCCTTAGATGTATCATCCATGCAAGTTTGGTCAACATAGGGCTTATAGTTACTTGCAAATGAAACCTACACCAAAAACTTTAACCTGTTCACTCAAGCAGAAAATGTAGGTCAGATTCAGCATCCGAAGCAAGCCCGGTAGTATGCATCCTTAGATGTATCATCCATGCAAGTTTGGTCAACATAGGGCTTATAGTTACTTGGAAATGAAACCTACACCAAAAACTTTAACCTGTTCACTCAACTGGAAAATGTAGGTCAGATTCAGCATCCGAAGCAAGCCCGGTAGTATGCATCCTTAGATGTATCATCCATGCAAGTTTGGTCAACATAGGGCTTATAGTTACTTGCAAATGAAACCTACACCAAAAACTTTAACCTGTTCACTCAAGCAGAAAATGTAGGTCAGATTCAGCATCCGAAGCAAGCCCGGTAGTATGCATCCTTAGATGTATCATCCATGCAAGTTTGGTCAACATAGGGCTTATAGTTACTTGGAAATGAAACCCACACCAAAAACTGCACCAAAAATGTTAACCTGCTCCAAAAACATTAACCTGGTCATTCCTTTGCTGAAATTGCAGCATCTGAAACTTTGTCTGGTACAATAAAACACACTAAAACCATCTTCCATGCATGTCTAATCAGTATAGGACACAGAAGTAATTAAAAAGAAAACTGCTCCAAAAAACTTAACCTTAACCTGGGACGCCGACGCCGACGCCGACACCGACACCGACGCCGACGCCGACACCGACGCCGACGCCAAGGGTATCACATAAGCTCCCCCCAACTTCGTTGAGGTGAGCTAAAAACAATAGGTATCCAGGCATTTAGAGAAATTGTCATGAATTTTATACTTATATGTTTTTTTTTGTCTTCTTTTTCCATCATATATTCTATAAAACATAGTGTAAAAGGCTTTTACTATCATTGCAAGACACCACACATTACTTCACATTTCATACCTTGCTAATAAGCATTGGTATCTAAGGCTGGAATCAAGAAAATCTAATTTCTCTAAAACTGTATTAATTTTTTCTCCTTTGGTAGGGTACAAATGTCAACTTTTATCAGATCTTTAATAAGACTTCCAAAGACCTTGAATCTTATAAAGATAAATACAATGAAAATTGTTGCATAGAAAAATTTCACTTTCAAACCTCATCTTGATGCATTTCAAATTAATTATAAATTTTTGGAGTTATCCTTCCTGGCTGAGGATCGGATATCCTTAAGGTATGTCACTCGTGAAATTTGTTAAATCAAGGATTTTTTGAGAAGTATATTTTTGATAAGTACTCATTTAGTGTAACTCAAAGACGCAGAGAAAAATCAATGTGCATCTTACTGATATACGGTACAATTAAGTTGTCCTTTTTGCACTTAAATTTTAACTCTTTATCATATTTTATCAGATGTAACCATGGCAATAAATATAATCTTACTTTACGTAAAATGGTTTGATAATGTTTATCATTGAAAAAATCTAGCAAAATTAATACGCTTAAATTTTTGTGTGACCTTTTTGCACTAAAAAGTAACATGTTTGGGGGTATTAAAAACTGAATAAGCAATATAACATTTTCTTATATCAAACTTTTTACAACTTAAGTACTGATCAGTCACAAGTATTGAGTAGTTTAAAATAATGAAAGAAAAAGTTGGGGTCAGTGATGTTAATTTTGAAATATTGGTCAAAATATGTCATTTTCAGGCGAAAAATGGCGTAAATTTTACCATGACTTCTTTAACATATCTTCATATTTTGGCAAAGTTTGTTGAGGGAAGGTGTAAAACTTGTTCTAAAAATATAAATTAAGACCTATATCAAATATTCCTAGCAATATCCTAATGGAAAATATTCTCCGAGTAAAAATATGTGAGGCTAAAGTTCCACGAAGTTAAATTTAATAAATGTGCAGATTTGCAGAATTTTCTGCTAAATATCCTTCCACCACAAAAAATAGTCCCTCATACATCTTGCTTCCTTGTAGATTTTTGAGCAGTTTTTTTCATTGAATGTTAAAAAATAACATTGTTAAATTTTAATATGTCGTAAAAATTGAATTTTAATGAACAGTTTTGAAGTAAGAGGTTCTGCGTGAACTTTTCTAAAAAGTTGATGAGTGACATACCTTATTATCATACCTCATTATAAATATTCTATACAACGCGTAATCTGATTAGTTCTAGATTATCACGTGATCGGGCCGTAAAACTTCATATTTCACAGCCGTCGGCACGCTTTTCATCATATTCCACCTCTTCGGAACACCTAGGGTATTTTCCCGCAACATAGTTCTCGTTCGTTGAACGAAAACTCCCGAGAGTAGTAGACGTCACAATATCCTGGTTTACGTCACAAAATTGATGATAATGTGTTGAACAAAGGGTTTTATAGTAACTTTACGTAAAAAATGAAAGTTTTGCTTGTTTCGGTATAATAAACAATTCATTGCATGAATGTTCGGGAAACATGAAGACTTATTAAGCCAAGAAATATCATATTCCCCTCGGGCGAAGCCCTCGGGGAATATGATTTTTCTTGGCTGAATAAGTCTTCATATTTCCCTCACTATCATGCAATAAATGTATAATATTCATGTACTACATTCATATTTGACAAAGTTTTTCTTTAATAAAAATGACATTACAAAAGACTTCTTAAAGATAGGGTGAGATATGAAGTTCAAGCAAAGTTGTCATGAAGCTTTGGGGAAAATTTTACATGCTACAAATCTATATGCCAAAATACACGCAAGACACATTCCTGGAAGAATATATCTTTATTGTCAATGTCACTAAGTCACTAAAAGAAAAAAAAATAGTTTTTTAAAATCATTCATTTTATAAACTTCAGATAAAAATAAAAAATTCCCATCCTCTACTTTTTTCCTGATTTGTAAAATAAACTGGACTACCTTTATCTTTTGGACCATTTTTGTGGCCTTCATCCAATGTCAGAATAATTGTTCGGATGTAGACATTAACGTAATAAATTATAACTTTGGAAAGGCGTGTATATCATCAACAAAATTAACACCCGGTGACTCTGATTTTTCCTATCTTTTAAGGTCACGAACCAATCCTTCTACTTCCTTTGTTTGTTTTATTTTTTTTCAATAATTTTGTAATTTGATAATTAGACACCTACATTGTTATCACAAACTTTCCTTTTTACAACTAGGTAACGGATACTGTTAATTCATTCTGATAACTTTCAGCCAACCAACAAATTAAAATCAAATGGTATACTCTGATTGAGGAGAGATTACAGTGAGTAATCCATCAGGTCATTACATTATATGTTATAATAATCAAATTGGATGTGTTCAAGTATCTAAGCTGTCAAAACAAA